GGCCCAAGGCCCCGCCCCCTGCCGTCCACGGGTCCCGCGCCCTCGCCAAGTGCCGCAAAGTGTGAGGTGCCCTCTGCCCGAGAGCCGCCCCTTCCTGCCGGCCCCACAGTGGCTCTGGGCCCGGAGAGAGGAGTCTGGCTCCATGCGGGCCGAGAGGCGCTAGAGTGACCGGCGTGTGTGTACCTTTCACCTGGCCTCTGAGTGGCATGGAATTTGGTATTGGTGGAAGCAGAGTGGACAGGGGTGCCACAACACCTGGAAGAGAAGCACAGGAGGCCTGTGAGCTCCAGGCCGCGCGCGGGCTCAGCCAGCGGCCAGTGCGGAGGTGCAGGACGCCCCTCTCCCTGCCTCTCACGAAACCTCCGCGCCCGCGGCGCCAGGCTGGGCCGTGCGCCGGGAGGCCCAGGACGCCCTGCAGCCGGCACTGAGCCCGGCCACCCGCCAGGGACCATCTTCTCGCGGCCAGCAACCCCGCCCGGCCAGTCGCCCGGCTGCTCGGCTCACGCGCCCGCCCTCTGCGGGCCAGAAATCTGCTGCAGTGGAGGACACGCTCGGCTGTCTCGAGGAAAGTGGCCTTTTCCTTACAGGGACAAAGGTCAAAGCCAGCGCGTGTTGCTCTGGCCTTACAGGAAGGACCAGCGAGAGAAGCGACGGCGGCCTCGGCCTCGGGTCACGAGCTGCTGTAGACGGCGGGGCAGGCGGGCTCGTGGCGCCAGCTAGCCCCGAAGCAGCGGCCGGCAGCCAGACCTCCCGTCTCGCGGGGAGGCCTCACAGGACACCTGAGCCAGGACCAGCCCTGCGACCCCAGAGAGCGGCAAGGCCGAGCCGCGGGCCGCGCAAGGCCCCTCCCTCAGACAATTACCTTTCATGAAGAAGCGGCAGGTGGGACGAGGCCTCACCTTCCTGTCACTGGGGTCCTTCACTTCACCCTCTTCCAGGTCGTCATCCTGGAACAGAGAGGCGTGAGTGAGCGGGAGCACCGCACAGGGATGAAGGCAGACGGGGGCGCCCACGCGTACCCCCGGGCTGTGGCCTGGGGCTCTGGGTTCCGCATCATCAGCAATTCGGGGCGCATCAGGCTTTTAGACAAATTCATGAAACCGACACGTCTTCAGCCGGCGCTGGCTTCCAGTCTGAGGTGAGCACGAGCCTGCTCCTCGGCGTGGCTGCCACACGGCCCGGCCCAGCCTCGCCGCTCCACGCCAGCACCTCACGGGAGAGGCTGCGAGCCCAAGACGTGGCCCCGGCACGGCTGACGGAAGCTGCCACACGGCCCGGCCCGGCCTCGCCGCTCCACGCCAGCACCTCACGGGAGAGGCTGCGAGCCCGAGACGCGGCCCCGGCGCGGCTGACGGAAGCTGCCACACGGCCCGGCCCGGCCTCGCCGCTCCACGCCAGCACCTCACGGGAGAGGCTGCGAGCCCAAGACGCGGCCCCGGCACAGCTGACGGAAGCTGCCACACGGCCCGGCCCGGCCTCGCCGCTCCACGCCAGCACCTCACGGGAGAGGCTGCGAGCCCGAGACGCGGCCCCGGCGCGGCTGACGGAAGCTGCCACACGGCCCGGCCCAGCAGCTGCGCCCAGCACGGGGCATGCGGTCTCCGCCCCAGCACCCCACGTGCTGCAGCCGGGCGGCCCGAGGGTCTGGGGGGTCCGAGAGCAGCCCCCGGGCGCCGCAGGCAAAGCGCTCGGCCCTCCGAGCCGGGGCTCTCAGCGGAGCTGGGGCCACTGGCCTGCGAGGTGGTGCGGCAGGAGCTCCTGTCCGGCGCGGCTAGGTCGCCCCCAGCCTCAGCGCAGGGGTAGGGCCCTCGGCCCGCGTGCCTGGGAGGGTCACGCCCGAGGGCAGGAGCAGCCCGAGGCCCTGGAGAGACCCCAGCCAGGTGCGCAGGAACTGGAGGTCTGGCCGAAATGCCACCAAGCCATTTCTGGGGTGCCGCTGTGCCCGGGCGAGTGCCCCGGCCTGTGTGAGGGCCGTGAAGGGGCAGCCACAGGACAGCCGCTCTGGTGGGCAAAGTCCTGAGAACCGAGAGACCCAGCCGGGAGCAGAGCCCAGAGGCCTGAGGGCCCGAGACGTCCGGAAGGGCACCAGTGGGGCCGACCTGGCAGGGCGAGGGCTGGGAGGAGGCCTTCCACGAGGCGGGAGCCACGAGGCGGGAGCCACGAGGCGGGAGCCACGAGCCACAGCCCAGCGCCTGCTCAGCGGCTGCAGAACGCGCCCGCAGAAGACACCGTGGACGAAGCCCACGCGGCCGCGCCCCTCCACCGCAGGCAGCAGCGCCCCGAGAGGCGTGTGCCTGCAGCGTGTCCCTGGCGCACCCAGGCACAGCCACAGCCCCGGGTCAGACGCAGCTGCAGAGTGCGGCGTAAACCAGAGGCGCAGCCGAGGACTCCGCGGGCTGCCCACGGGGTGGGCGGACTGCCCTGGCCACCTGCCCCAGTGACTCGAAGTCTGAAGGGAAAAGCAGGACCGCACCGAGAGGAGGAGAGGCAGTCAGGTCAGAGAGGCGGTCAGCTCCCGGCCCCTTCTTCGAGACCACAGTGCTGTTCCTTCTCGGGGCTCCCACTGCACACCCGCCCGACCACACGTGCCGCACCCGCGCCAGGAGGGGCCGGCCGAGGGGCGGGCAGTGACCAGAGTGGAGGCTCCGGGCACGGCCCCCGCCCAGTGCCGGGGTCTCCTCAGGGACACAGCCGGGGGGAGGCAGCTGGGCCCCAGAGAGGACAGGCACGAGGCCCGGCACGCTGCCCGGGCCGTGGCGGGCAGCTTTCCAGCCTCGGCCCTGACAGCGTGCGAGTGGCAACCGGCTGGCGCGGGCGCTCAGTCCAGAGGGGCCAGGACGGTGGCGCTGGCTGTGGGCGGGCACGCGGGTTGGACGCCTGCTCGCAGCCGACAGGTGGAGGGACACCTTGAGCCCGCCTCGCCCCGACGGCCTGCTGCCCAAGTGCCCGCGGGGCTCGCGCCGAGCGGCCCAGGCA